GGGGCCGCGGGCGGCAGCGTCTGCCAGCTGGGTGGCGAGATAGATATCGAGCAGATCGAGAACAACTGAGAGGGAGCGCGGCGGGGCGCGGGGTGCTGCCGCCGGCCGCGGGGCACGGAGCAGCTTTGCCAAAACGTCGTCAGGTATCCGGAGCAATCGTGCGTGCAGAACCTTGAACTTCTTCGTAACTGCTGTAGCCGGGGAGCAGCGAGGTGCGGGAACGGCCCACGGCTTTCGAGCAAGCGCTGGGGATCGCCCCCATGGGCTCTGTGCGCCGGCGGGTGGGTTCCTCGCGGCGCCGCAAGGCACGTGCAGAAGGGGCTGCGGCAGCAAAACCGCCAGCGGCGCAGACCGGATGATGGGAGAAGGAAAAGGAGCAGGTCCCTTTGGAGCCTCCCAGGGCTCTTCCCTCTCCCTGACCGGGACACCGTTCCCGTGCTCCTTCCCGCTCTGCCTGCCCGCGAGGCGGTTCCGAGGCTGCCGCGACCCGAGTAAGCTGTCGAAACGCTGAAAATTCAGGTAGCAGCACTGAAAGCTTTTCCCTCTCCCTGTGCCTTGGTTAAGCACAGCCCAAGCAGTGACCGTGACGCTCGTACCGAACACCTTTTCCCCGGGGAAGCCGGCTGTCCGCCGGCTAACAGGGCCAGAAGGACACGCGCTTGTTTTCCCCCACTTTTCTTTCTCAGCCCACAGGAAAGCTGCACGGGCAGCTCTGGGCGCCCGCTCTGCAGTTTCCTCATGCTCGCAGGTGGCTCCCAGGGAGCTGCAGAGGTGGCAGAGGAGACCCAGCTCATGGATCCTAGTGCCATCTCCAGCCTGGGCACCTTCAGGAGGGGCCGGCGCTGCCACCGGCAGACACGTAGGATCTGCGGGTCGGGCGCCACCGGTACAGATGTCGTGCCCCGTTTCTGCTGCCGTCACTGCACTTTGTCCCGTGGGCAGGCAGCGCTCCGCGTCCCGCGCGCGACGCCCGGTGCCTACCGTTTACACACAGCACAACCCGGTTGCCTTACTCAAGCCGCTTCTCCTACGAGGCATGGCCTTATCCTGGGCACGTTAGCTTGGACACACACTGCAGTTAGCTGCGATCTTTCTTTTTTTTTCTTTTTTTTTTTTTTTTTTTTTTGGCCCAAAGGGGTGTTTGGGGGGTTTTTTGGT